TTTGTATGCCATGAATAAATTCCAAGAAACAGACCATGTCGCAAAATATTTCTTTTGCAACAGCAATTCAAAGAACCTTCATTTGAATTACTTTTTAGTTCAGGATACCACTATATCCTTAATCATCTGGACTCAAAAGAAACTGTCAAGTGCATATAAAGACTATTCCCAAGTAAGAACCTGAATTGTATCAGGTTAACATAAAAAGAAATATGTATTTAAAATATTTTAAAAGCGTTTATTTAAAACATATTTAAAGTACGTTATTCTCCTTTGACTCCACAAGTCTACTTGCAAAGTTTGCTTTTTAACTTCTTTATGCATCATGAAAACTCCTGTTTTCAACATACCAACCAGAAACTGCACCTTCTTTCCTTACTTTATTTTTAAACTGTATGCAAGTGACAACCATTGAACTAAAGAGACAGACAATGCAAATGCTTCAGTAGTCAGATAAAATATACTCTACAATTTGTAAACAGTTCTAACATTCAGTTTATGAATTACTGTTTTCTCTAGAGGTGGTGCATATGTTATTTAGAAGCACAGAATATACAGATTAGGGTTTAACAGTACTTTAACACCCCTCAGGTGCTCCCTGTGTCCTCTTCTCCTTCGACCTCAGACACCCCCATTCAGCATGCCTCAAGCACCACAACATACGTGCTTCAACTGTTACTTTCAGCAGCTTCCAAACTTGTAGACGATAAATTGAAAACCCTTTTCTTGCAACCATCTTTAAAAACAGGTGTTGGTTCTGGCAAACAGGTTTGGAGTACACAAGTCTCCACACAGAAATACTGATGATCAAGTGAGTGAAGAAGTCTCTACTTAAGAGCTAATACTGCCTTGCTTTAGTGTTCCCTGTGGTGTCCAACAGAGACTAAAGCCAGCAAAAATGGAAGGTGTCCAACCTTTCTTCATGCCTATTAAAGGCAAAACTGGTTTCATTCTCCTACATCCATACGCTCAGGGCTGACCCTCCAAAGGGTCCCATTTTGGTGTTCAGCGTTAGGTGGCCTTCTCCACACATGCCAACTGTGGCAGTTCCTTTTCCGATGTGAAGATTAAATCCCAACATCTGGAGATACAGATAGCACCACATTGCCTATTAAAAGTTCCAGAGCAGTCACTGTAATTCAAGTAATTTGATCTTACATCAATGTCTAGTACAAATTTTAGAACAAAACTAACAGAAATCTACTGCAAAATTTCCAGAGCTCATCTTCACTGTGCACAAGAGCAGCAGTGCACCTTTGAGTGCACTCAAAACCTTTGAGATTAGTAGGTGTTTGATTTCACCATTTCCTCTGATGTGCTACACTGTAAAGCTTTTCATTTTTCCTCCTATGGATATAGATCTTGATAAAGTATGACAGGAGTATGTCGAGGACTGTGAATGCCCAATCACATCCATGCACAATGTTAGGAATTCAAAATTGGGTACAGGCAGGTCTCTCTGCCTGATTCAGGACTGGTTTGTTGGGTTTTTTTTAAACCTAGATGAAACATTCTTACCTGAAATGTCTATGTAACAAAGGCACACAAAGATATATTAGGCTTTGTCTCAACATCTTCCTCAAGAGAGAAGACCTTACCAACAGGTCTAATATACAGTTTACAAGTTAAACTATTTGCATGAAAACCACACCAACTCTAGATATAAAAATCACTGCAAAGGCATCGTATCTTGAGAACAATCCACACACTACATTTCCAACAGTAGCATAGCATAAAATTGTCTTAATTATTAACTGTCATTGAAGAACATATAAAAATATAAGAAACATCTGATTAAATCTGACCACAGATTCATTTAGCCCTGTATTCAGTCTTTGATCACAGCAATAATAATGATGACCAAGCCTGGCCATTCTGGTTTATTCCCTTCATTCCTCCTCACTATCCACAACTGTCATATTAGAGATGGTCTATTGCATTTCCTGTTTATGAGCCCTTCTAAACAGGAATTTTTCTCCTCCCTTTTTAAATGTGCCTCCACAACCTCCTGTGACAGCATAGTCCAGAATATAATTGAAAAGTATCCAAAAAGAAGTATTTTCGTTTATTAGCTTTAAATTTAACTCTAGACAGTTTCAACAAATGCCTCTTAGTGTAAGAGGTTTTGGCGAACAACAGTTCCACATTCAGCCCATCTACAATCTTGAATATTTTGCAAACTTTGATCACACCCCATCCCTATTTAGACCTCTTCTCTCTAAACTAAAGACTGACAGTTTTTTGGTCCAACCAGTAAGGCCACTGTCTCCAAAGTTCAAGTTCTGTTATAGTGGTTTGTTTGCTTTGCATGCAACATAAACCAAGGTTTCACACAGACTCTTCAAGAGTTTCATATTTCTGCAAGTGTTTCATTATGTGCAAACCAGACTCAAACAAAAAAAGCCAGCTTTACAAATCAATTACCCTTCAACACGTGGGGTCAGGTGTAAATACTGGATTAAATGTAAAATACTAGACAGGCAGATAGACAGTTGTAACATTTAATCACATCTATAAACACACTCTATGCAAGATGTAGAAGCATCAGTACAAAATACAAAATTTCTAGTTTCTGGAATGCTTGATATAAATCAAATTTTTAAATTGCTTTTACTTGAAATTTAGAAAAGCTGTTTCCTTTAAGTACAAATCAATAACAATACTCAATTATCTCTTGCTGGTATGGCCCATTGATTTAGCTTTAAATATCTCTGCTCTGAAACCGAAGTATTCTAATGTTTTAATTTTATTTTAATGTTGTCTTTGCTAAACAAAATACTCTCTGAAATTACCATAATAAAACAATCTTGCAGGAGTTATTTTTCCTCATTCAAACATCACTAGACAGTACCTTCATTTATTTAGAGCCACATTTCCACTTGAGCATTCTTAACATTATAAAAGCAACAGCAAGACCCAACACCAAAAGGAATTCAGAAATTCACCCAATGCTGTATAATACCAACAACTGCTGTGATTTCCTAATGGAACATACATTTTCAAAGGTGTGCTACTCACAAAAAACCTTTACACAACATAATTAATGAAAACAACATTTCTATTTACCTCTTTGAATTAATTAACTTTTCCAAGTTCATTAGACATTGGCATAATCACATGACCCTCCCTACTCAGATTCCTACTCTTTTAGTT